ATAATGTCTCGTTAATAAAGTCCAAAACGTCAATTCATATGCACTTAAAATTCGACTTTGGAGCTCCCTCTTTCAAATTCTAATATTGAATTTGATTTGCTTGTTTCATTCTCATCATTTTTTATTCCAACCTTGAAATTATTTAGCAAACTTTTTTCTCAATATTTAAATTACAACCGTGAAATAATTTTAGCATTCCATATTTTAGTAAAGTCATATCAATCAATGATGCAAGGTCACGTCTTGTTTTATATGGCAAACTTTTGTATCAATTAATTGGGATCCCATCATCGAGGATGGTAGATAGTAGGTTATTGGAGTTATATGTCAAAAGTATGGCGAGAAACAATAAAATGGCTTCTTTTCTACAGTTGGAGAATTCGACACTAACAATGTGAACACTGCTAATATTTAAAGTGTGTGTAGAACTATAACTGTGTGTTAATTCATCGTTTTACAATTTAAAACTCGATATGAATATGTAGGGTGAAATTCATGGCCATATGCATGGGCATAAGTAATTAAGGGTCTGATTGGATATATAAGTTAATTTGGATTTGTTAGGTAAAGTGAGTTAATTTAAAAGAAAAAAATGATTGGATTTGGTTTGAGTGAGATTTTGAGTTTGTATTAAAAATAATATTTAAAATATAATGATTAAAGTTGATTTAATGTAAAACTATGAGAGCTGATTGAAAGTGAAGAGTGGTGAAAATTATGTGAGGTGATGAATAATGAATTAAAGTTTATGTGATGCATAAGAATTATTGATTGATATTATTTAATTATAATACTGATGATGAATATGTTGAGTTAAATTTGAGTTTGATTGTAAATTTAAAAAAAAAAAAAAATTATCTCGCCGAAAGTGACCAAATAATTTATAGTGAATACGTCATACCGCCCAAAAATGATATATTTGTTCAATAATTAATTTAATTAAGCATCAATTAGTCATTGTCATTAGAAGTGAGACCTCAATCCCCAGATTTATCAAAAATTCTATGGAGCCACCGAATGGTTTTTTTATGGAACCATCCACTACTTAATATATTAACACTTGTCCAAATTGTATTTATTGTAGGACACGTGTCAGTACACTATTGGTTAATAAGTGTGGATGGGCCCATAAGTTGAGCCATCCGATGGCTCTATAAGTCGAGTCATCTGATGGCTCCATAGCAAAACTGCCAGATTCAGTTGTCGTAGTTTAATATATAATATGTTCAAACAAATTGTTTTAATTTGATTTCTATTTTATAATTGCNGTTGAGAATCATTTCTAATCTTTTTTTTTTTTTTAATCAAACGATAAGATAATCATAAATAAAGGGATAAACATCCAAATACAACTGTTCCAAGTTCAAATAACATCGCATGAAATGGGAGACCTCACATGCGAGGTCTAAGTACAATCAAAAGCCATAGGCAGCTAAAAGCTGTAGTCCTAGACTTAGAAACAGTAGCAAACCAACAATGAGGAAGAAGAGAAGTGAAATTTTCCCTTGGCCTAACACAACTCATCATCTACAGCAATTCAAATCCTCATCCACAGCCATTCAAAGCAGTTAGGCAGATTGGAATTCCCTCCAATCTCTAACAGCCTGCTTCAAGATGCACATTTTCAGAGAGTTGTTGCTTATGAAATATCCACAGATTAAGGCTTTTCCACATCCACCATAGAATATATGTCGACAATTGGATTCTATCTTCATTTATTGCTCTATGGTTCAGGCTGCAGATATTCCACCACCATTCTGCAAAAGAGATAGAAGATGATGGTAGAGAGTCCCAACTTACAGGTGCTAAGCTCCATACCCTTTGAGCCTTCCTACACTGCAAGAGTATGTGGTCAATGGTCTCAATTTCCTCCCCACAAATAGTACAAATAGGGTCAACTTGAACCCCTCTCCTCAGCAGATTAGCGGAAACAGGCAAGGCCTTTGAGAAGCATTTCCAGATGAAATGCTTAAGCTTTCCACCAACCTTCAATTTCCATGTTCTGTTTCTGACTTGGATGTTCTTAGCACCTGTGTAGCTGCATTCAAGCATGTCAAGGAGATGCGGCTTTTCAGAAGATAGGTGAGCATATGCTTATGAGACAGAGAATTTTCCTTTTTTTGCACACTTCCAGACCCAGCCATCAGTTTTGTCAGGGTTAAGCTGTCTCAAGCTTAAAATGGCCTCTGCCACTTCTTTTTCAAAAAGAGAATTAATCTTTTCGACATTCCAATTACTCCCATCAATGGTAAACTCATTAATCCAGGTACTTAAATGTAACCCTTTTTTTATCAAGGGATTTAATCCATGGATAACCCAAAATGTGAGTATTTTTCCCACTCTGCAAATCAACTTTGAGATTAGGATCAAATTTCTTCTTAACATCCATCCAAGTATTCCAGACCCATGACCCCCCTGGTTTTCTTCTAGCTTCAAGGAAAGTTGATGTAGGGAAGTACTTGGATTTCAACACTTTGCAAATCAGTAGCTTAGGTTTAGATACCAATCTCCAAAGTTGCTTCATGATCATGGCTTCATTAAATAGTTGAATATCCTGGAAGCCTAGTCCACTTTGGAGATTGATATCTAATCCTGATTATGACCATGATCAGGATTAGATACCAATATCCTGGATTAGATACCAATCTCCAAAGTTGCTAGTCACTTTATCCTATTTGTTCAATTATATATNATTGAAATACAATAACTAAGCAAGTAAGCATGTGTAAGAGATAGAAAAATAATGAAAGTAGAATAAAGAGATTTATTATTAGAAAAGTAATATATAAGGAAAATATATTATTTCAGTGTTTACCTTTCTACAATTATCATTTTATGAAGTTTCAAATGTAGTTTACAGTTTCAACATAGTGGCAACGTGAATTCGCCTCATAGAACCTTTTGATTTATTCCAGGTTTTATATTCTTAACAACGCCTTGTTCACAATTGGTTAATAACTTTTTCTTCTATCCGTCTTCTTTATAGAACCTTTTGATTTATTCCAGGTTTTATATTCTTAATCAATGAGAATTTCATGTCAAACTTCAGTAGTCATTTTTTTTAAAGAAATGGATACAAAATAAAAGTAATTACCAATAACCCAAAAAATTAGTAGGTAAGTTAAAATGGGAAAAACAAAAGGTAAATGAGTAAAACTGTAACTTTTCCTAATATATAAAATATATGATTTCAGAGATTTAGTTATAAGCCATATGACTTACTGATTTTTATTGAACAAAACTTATTTGTAAAATTTCTAATTTGTGTTATTATTAGCGTAGTGTAGTATACAATTTCATTAATCCATTTTATTCGATCTCTTAATTTTCACCGTCTCATAAAANCAAAAGAAAAAAAAAAAAAAGAAAAATGACAAGTCAAATCCTATTGTTGACATTTGTGTCTAGTTGGTGATATAACCGTGAATTGAATTAGCCAATATTTTTAGGTGACATTATCGTACGGGAATTTATTAATTATAAGGCGTCTTCTCCCTAGTAATAGTCTCAAAATTTCCGATATTGAATTAGGATTTGCTGTCTCCTTTATATCTAAAATTTATAATTATAAATTTCACATAGAGTTTGAGAATTCATGTCTTTAATACCTAATTATTAAAATAGAAAATATTTGTGATCAGTAGTAAAATGCATTTTGGATTTATCACGTTATGGCACCAGCTGGCTCTTAATAATTACTTCCTTTCAAATATTTTATTTTACCTCTCCACCGAAAAACAGAAAATATAATTAAAACAAAAAGGAACTTTTCTATTTTTTTTATTGAAAACGTCATTTAAGCTTACTTTAGAATAAATATTTCTAACTAGATCAAATTTAGATGAAATCATTACCTTTGTCTAATTAGATAAATTGGATTTTTTTTTTCTTTTTTTTGGTACAATAGATAAATTGGAATTTAGTGATGTCTGATAGAGTTTAGTTAGTC